CGCCACATGTGATAGCGTTCATTAATTACTCGCATAAATACCGAGGCGCGCGTCGGGTGTCGTTCGCGTCGGATTCAACATTCATACGCGACGCTTCATCGTCAATGCGGCGGAATTTCGATTATCGATCCCCAGGTAGCCCGCCTGCTGGCGGCACGACATCGCGGAATGCTATAGTTCGGCCCGCAAATATAAAAGAGCATTATTGCGGCGAGGCGATAAAGCGTCAATGCGTCGGGCGTGAGTGACGCGCGGCGCTTCGAAAGGCGTTTCACGTTGCGCGACGATTTGTACTTATCGAACTTTTCGCGCGGGGGCTTTATCGATGGTATCATGAAGGGCCCCTTTCAGAATGTCCTGTCGACAATGAACGCTATTGTGCAGCGGGTCTGCGGCCGCGATCTAACGTTTCTAGTTTTTGATGACATCGCGCATGTCTGAAAATTCGCGGAAACCAGAGTCCATCGAAAGAGTGTCGCATGAAATTACGCCATTTTCTATTTTTGGTTTCGGAAGACGTGCGAAATGCTAATATCTCCTCTTTCGCGGACAGGAGGCGTTATCCCCCACCGCGATAACTTATCTCAACCAAACTTTGCTGCGCCTATCTTTTTGCGTCGGAAACTGTATGCATGTCTATCCTCTCGTCCGTATTTCATGGCCCTGCCGTCATATCGCGCTAAGGTTTCCTATTTCTCATCGTTCTCATCGTTCTTTACGTCGAGCGAGTTGCAAGTTTTACGGTTTCTCTCGGTTTTAACGTTCTGTTACTTTGCCACGTACAAATTGCATCCGATGTATACTAGCTCGTGCACCTGGCGTTAAAAAATGCACACTTCTTCACCTATCTTGCGGAACGTCATTAGCTCTCGGGCGCATTTAGCTTCCTGTCGTCCTGCGGTGCTCCTCGATCGCGTGTGCTCGCGTTGCTAAATTACACGTTCGCATGAGTCTTGCTAATCTTATTAATTGATCTCTCCTAAAATGACTCGGTGGTGTCTCGTTATATCGTCGTAGAATTCTGTCACGGCGCCCGCGGAGACTTTCATTATTTTAAAGCGGCCCTTTATATCCGGGACGGAAGTAACCGGGGCGGTCGCCTGGTTGGAAGAACTACAGTATCCGCGCGACGGTAACCTCGATGCGACCGCGGAAACGCAGCCAAGGTCGCGCCTTGCCACTGAATGGCGCATTCAATGTCAATGAAGCTCGCGACGCGAGCTTTCTTCGACGCCAAATCGATGCCAAATTTCGCTGCCCGGCCGGATGGCGAACGCGATAGCGTGACGCGAGCGATAAATCGGCGCGGTCTTGCGCCATGCCGGAGTTCTGCACAGCGTCGTGTGGGTTGCGTGGGGTGGGACCAATCCCGCCGCGTTCATCCCCTCGTCGTATCCTCCCTTCGCGCTAATGCGGCGGGGCCGCGGCAAGAAAAGGAGCAAAAAGCACACATCTACGAGACCCGTCGATACCAAACATCGTAAGATACCCTTGATGTAGTACGATAGTATCAAATGATATCTTCTACGCGGGTTTGCTATCTTGGGAATTGAGTTTGATTAAAAAAAGTGCCCTTTTCAGCCTGCGTTGCGTGCAATCGAGATTTTTTATTATTGTATGTACAATGCAGCTAATGGACAATGAAAAGAAATTTAATTGCTTTGAACTTTAAACTATGACGTCAATTCCTCGGATAATATTTCTGACTCTGAAGACTGATGATTTTTGATGTTATTGTAATTCCTTTAATATTTTAGACGATATTTTACGATATTTTGGCTCAGATATCGTTTTCAAAAATAATAAAAATTATGATAACAAAGATATTTGATATTTATTTTTCTTTAGAATTGTAAATCTAGGTCTTAAAAAGAATTTTAGAGAAAGATGCTATCTGACATTCGTTGAAAGTTTGAAATATGTGTTACAGGCTTGAAATATTCAGGCTTATACCGTTTATTTTATTATTTATTTCTGGGATTATGCCAAGGCTATGTTTGAAAAATGATCGTCCTTCAGAGATCGTAATTGTGATAGACCATACCGAGAACTGCCATACGGCTCGATCTTGTCACGCGTGACGTATCAGCCTGAATGGCTTGACAGAAAGTACGGTCGTATGCGGAAGGCCGGTATCGATTCTCGCGGTTCATCGGAGCCCGTGCACGTGAGAATACACGGTCGGCACGCGACACCGCGATTGCATCAAGCGACGAATGTCAACCTTTATGTAGCATTGTTACGAAACCGTTCAAAGAGGCATGTAGTTCGTGACTTTTACCCCCGATGTCCTCAGGCTCAAAATTGCCGTCGGCTTCAACAGGCACTGTAAAAGCGCTACTCTGTTTCGAATCAAACATTCAACTCACTCAAAAGAAAAAAAAATCTAAAAAACATTTTTGTAACGTCACTTTTGATACTACGAGAAACGAGAATATTTGAACAACGTTTTAATTAATAGTGTTGAAAAGAAGAAGTCACTTTTAAGTAATTTTATAAATTATGATCAAAGAAGCATTATTTTGCGGTAATTTAGAGTTTTGTATACGCAAAACTACATGAAAATTCGGAGCTGAATGATAATTAATTATTAGGACTAATTATAATCAATATCTTTCACTAGATTTGCTTGTATTTTTTTTGCTTATGTTTTTTTCCTTGTATTTTTTTCCTTGGATTTTTTAGCTAGTAACTTTTCAGACCTTAAACAGTTTTCGTAGACTTCAGATACCATGTCTAATGCGGATTATAGCGCTTGAAGGGCGAAACGACCCTACCCGTGCACCTGGAGCTGCGTTCTGCGAACGCGTTATCATCCAGCCCCTATCAATGCACCCTTGCCCAAGACCCTTTTTCGCTCGTGCGGTTCTGTACGCGAAATCGATAGTCCCGCAGGCGTGCGTGAGAAGTCGAGCAAAGACTGACGGACGGGGTCTGTCTCTAACTTGTAGCTCGTTCACGGGCGCCTACCGCCTCCTGTGCGTTAACGAAACTCGCATTGTCTTGTGACATGCCGCTTTCCTGAGAATTACATACAATGTTATATTCCGTAAAGCGTACGGCGTTAAGAATTGAATTAGAGCGAGAGTTGCGCGGAGAGATATGTTTCCGGGTGTTGCGAAGAGGTGCAATTTAACGGCGACTTGTTAAAGCTTAACAATTAAATGCAAGCACGGCTTTGCGCATCGTTGAAAACGTCAGTCCAACATTATCATCTTAGTAGCTCGTGTATAACTACAACGTTATAATTATGAAATCGTGCGATATCGCAGATGTTATAATATTACAATTACAACTTAATAATAACGATATTATAATCATAATATTATCAAATTGTTATGTCGTGGCGCTATAACGTTTCAACAATAGGACATTAGTTACACGATGGAGCGCCTTTTGCTTCCATCACCGACGTTTACCAACGGCGCGAGCCGGGTATAATTGGATGAACACGGCAGCATCGATGCATTAGGAAAACGCGGGGCATCTGCCGCACGGAGAATTATGTTCCTAGTGCAAAGGTTAATCCTATAGCCACCCTCTCAGTTCTTCTCTAATTAGGGATTGGTCTAATATAGAATGATCTTAGGTCAACTTAGCTGTCATCCAGATCCATCGTCCCTTCATACGACATAATTGCAATGATTAATTCCCCTTCTGATTTTCTACGATATTATTCTGAAACCGCGACACAATTAAGCAAAAATTGATTCCGTAAAATTGAAATTGTTGTATCTATAAAATTCGAAAATTGTTACATATGAATATAATTAAATGAATTCTCTCAGTCAAGTAAAACTCCATTTATTCTAAAGAATTTAATTGATAGACTATTTGACAGAAATATTTGGTTTCTGTAAAAAAATTCCATTGCAGAAAGTTTTGGTATCTGTTTAAGTTTGATGAGTTTGCTACATCTAACGAGATTCGATAACGGCGCGTCTGGTTATTATTTTTCATGCGTCAGCCGTTTTATCCAACAAATACTGCGTGACAGTGTATTTCGGTATAGGATTGCAAATCGGACATGACAATTTAGCATACAATGGCGACGCGAGTTAATTAATTAATCATGGATCTGGCGCGACTTAAAAGTTCGGTTACGATATCATATCGTAAAAGATCGTTTATATTCTATCATTTGTTATTGTAATTTAAAAAATTGTATTATTACATATTATTCTACGTTGTAGTATCTATCTAGGAAATATATGATCAATGATTAATATGAGGCGGGCAACTTCCGTTATGTATTAGATTTATTGGTTACGATATTAAACCATAAATTACAAATGTATTTCTGTCGTTTTCATAAATTTCGCACACGCAATTACGATTTTTATCTATTCGTTATTTGATAAATTATAAGCGAAAAAAGAAGCTTTCTGAATACTGAGAAATAATTATTAAAGACAGACATGATAAAATTGAGAAAAATACTATTGTATTTTATAAATATAAAGTGATAAAATGAAAGTCTTAAATCCCTTTTACATTATGAAGTAAATATATCACCGCGGCTGACTACTTTAATTTGAGGTGTCATAATGAAAGATGATATTTGCGTTATAGGATATACAATGAAATACAAATGAAATCTGTCTTAATAATGTTTGCAAAATTCTTTTTTTAGGGCATACCTGAGACCACCGATATCCCTATCACCATGAACGAACAGAATAACAGCGCGAATTGCAGTCTAGGCTTCTGCATGATGGATGACGCACGTCTGTCGTTCGATCAATTGCAAAGATCACTCTGACATCGTAGTCACTGCGACTCGAAATTGCACTGATTCGGCGAAGTTATTCTCTCGCCAAAACGCACCGCCGCGTCCTTACATCCGTCTTCCTGTCAAGCGAAAGGACATTCAAATTATATAGCTGGCATAATGAAGTATGACTCTCGCATTAAATAATTGTTTCGTTACGAAAATGAAACGCGATGTGAAAATTTGCCAAAAAAAGATGGAACAATCGCGATTGATTTTCAAGAAAATCAACTGAATGAAGCTCTTTCTGCGTTTTGGCGCAGGTGCCCCGTTCGAGGAACATCAATATTTTGGAAGATAATAACGGCAGTTGTTTTAGAAACAAAAGAGGATAAAATCCATATGAGATTAGGAGCACTTGCTGCAGATGTGAATTAAAAAGAAGATAACATATTATTGCTTTATAGCGAAAACCTGTTGTACATCAGATATATCTCGAAATAACATTGTCAATTATTTTCATTTTATTTTAAATCAATATATTAAAAGTTTTCATTTATCTATTTATATATAATTGGATAAATATTTGTATCTTTGCTCAATTGGTGCAACAAGATTTCAAAATATCGAAATTTCTTTGTAATATACACCATAAATATTTCGCGTATTTATAAAAATGATGTTATCACTGTTCCCTGCATCGATTAAAGAAAATGACAACGATATTATTGATAAAAACAATCTCGGCTGTTATTAAATCGATGCAATCGTACCTCTTAGCGAAATACGCTATACTTCCTGCCGTGGCCGTGCGATAACCGGAACAATACGAAGCGACGGAACCGATCTCGGAAGACTGAGATGACTTTTTACTGCGACAAATCGGAGTCTCATCTTGCGATATCGCGTCTGACGGTTTTCGTTAGGGACGTAAATATCGTAAGGGAAAAAGACGGTATCTAGACGTCGCGACGTTACGGCGTTACGGCCAATACTAAAACGACGTCGGGACACCCGCCGTTATCAGACACAATTTTCCACGCGTGCGCACGCGCCCCCGAGGAACCCAGGGGGGCTGCTGGAGCGGTGTGCGGGGTGATGTGAGGCGACAATGCCGAGGGAATCCCCTATGGCCGCACTGGGAATAGGCGCGACTCCTCTTTTGCACGTCGTTCATAGACTCAGGACTACACTCGTATTTCGATTATTCAGTAGGCGGTAACGATTCCGCTAGATGATTTTACGAAGTGCAAATGAGTCGTTTTGATTTGAGACAGAAATCGCTCGAGACCTACAATAAAATTGTTTTAAGAATAAAATTTAAATAACTTTAATAATAAAATTAAATTACAAATTTTTTGAATAAAAATAAAAAATTATTATGATTATAATACATAATTATATGATATTGTTTCATTAAGTAATTTCATTAAGTTTTATATGCTTCATAATGTTCTATTAAATATTCTTGTAAATACTTAATAAAATCCTTACTAATTAGAAAAGTAAAATCGTCATCTATAAGCGGATAATAGAATCTTGTGGAAACTTAAACGCGTCATTTAGATATGGATGACATAATGATTTTAATGTGTTAAGTAATGATTTAAATTTTATAAGCAATATTTTCAGAAATGATGAATAATTTATTTTACGCACAGAGAATAGAAAATAACGAATATGGAAGATATAGACAAAACAATTAAATCTTTTATACAGATAAATGTTGAAATAAAATATTAGAAATCTATAACATGAACATTAATTTAAGTTAAATTTATACATAAATTTATTAAGGATATATTTTGAAAGATAGATATATTTTATATTTATCTTTATTGACTGTAATAAAACATTTATAATTAATCTTTCAAATAAAAATTATAAAATATGAGCTTGTTACATTTATATAAAATGATTATTTGAAGATTAAGTATTTTATAGAAGAATATTGTTGCTTTTTAAATACGTTGTAAACAATTTATGACAATTATTTACTCTTTTACTGAATATGTTACGTGAATATGTTACGTTTAATCCATATTTTATACTTATTCTATTTATCTCGTTTCTCATATTTGCATTTTAAAGCACAGAATGCAATCGTGTTTCGCATCGATCGCATTCTGTCCCATCTGCGATGGGTCACATTATTCGCATTATTCGCCTTTCTCCTAATTCAATTAGAACATCGATTCGGCGGTAGATCTGCTCCGTTTCCCAGTTGTTTCCCGTAAACAGGAGTATTCGTGAAATCGTAGACGTTAGTACGCCCTTAAGGCCGAGCCTGCAGTTAGGGGAATACCACTATGTTTCTCTCTTGTTTTCCTTAGGATAAGCATAGATGTGTGACTCGCATTTGATTTAGAGCACGACGTTTAGACGCGCCGGCATTTTTTCAGCCTCGCGGGCGTTTCATTCACGATGGAAGATGTCTTTATGATTTAGCGACTTTCTCCTTGAGTACACTTAACTAAATGCTTTTTCCTATTCAGTGTCGTCCATATACTTTCAAGGATCCCTTGGATCCTTGAAACATTGAAGCAACTTGTAGCTATTGTTGTATAAATTATCAAATAAAAGATTACTCTTTACATTATATAAAAACAATTATTTTATAGTATCTCAAAAAGTATATATTTTCAAATTTTAAATAAAAATTGAAAATAATAAATAATAAGTTTAGCTCCAAACAAATAAATTTCTTAAAAACATTGAAATCTATCACAAATATTCTCTTTAACGGTATAATTCTAAGTTCGAGAACAATTTTTTTATATTGTTTGATAAAAACTACTTGTTTCTTATATTCTTATGCTGAAGACGTTACTGCATTTTCCTTCGCGAGACGCGTGTTTTAGCGAAGATTGCATGTCGTCGTTTGTTTGTGAAAAAAGTTAAATCGATCGCAGTGTCAGAAACAAATGTCCAACATATGATTTATAGTTTACGCAACGAAGTTGTCATTGGTGACCTTTGAATGATGCATTTGCTTTATATTTACGATATGCATCTTGCTATCAATACTAGCAAATCGGAGAAACTGCGAATGTAGAAAAGTGATTTACTGATGCTTTTTATTTTAAAAATAAGGGTAAGAAAAGAATAATGTTTTTTTTTATAGAGTTTGATATTAAAACATTTTAAAATAAATAAGAAATATATTTTTATAATTTTTGAAACTGATTTATAAAAGCAATATAAATGTTATATTACTATGTAAATTTCATATGCAATTTAATTTAATGAATAGATATAAGGAATCATGAAAATGATAGGACTTTATATAAATATTGTCACATCTCAAAATTATGCTAATAATTATACATTTTTTAATCAAAAATTTAAAAAAAAAATGTTATTTTGTTATTGATAAAACTTTTTTAGATCTAAAACCAATAAAGCACATTGAAATATTATTAATTTACAACATATATAATTCATGAAAAATATGCTATTTTTCAAAAATTCTTTGAAAGTAAAATATATTCGTTTTCTGTAGATAAATATGACATAATGACCAAGTTGATTGATTCTATATATTCTCGATGTTATGAGACTATTGTTAGATATTGATCCTATTTGTAAAAATATAAGAATTATTTTTGACAATCAAATGATTACATCTTTCATATATCTTCTTTGTATTCATTTTTGTTCTTTATTAAAGAACTCAAATATCGAATTTTTTTTATATTTATAGCTGCTATATAATTTACAATTATGATTTTTTTCTAGTTTAATAGTGGTATAGTTAAATTATTATAACATCATTTATAACTAAAATAACTCGAAAATATTTAATTAAATCTTTCCTTATTTTTTTATTATGACAAGTTTCGAAGAAAGCTTAGTGTGCTTACTACTTCAATTGAGTATCATTCTGAGAATTTGTTTCTCTGTGTTAATCCGTTGTACGGAATATTTCAGTTTTAACGTCCAGCATCCACAAAACACTATACAAGCTTGTTATATTAATCGATATAGCGATCATAACATTTTATTTGTCACGACGTCGATGACAGCACGAGCGATATAATGGATACATTATCGCACCTCTATCTTGCCATGAGTGGAACGCTGACGATCGCATCGTGAAATTTTTATCTGTATGCACGCTGCACTAAAGATAAAACTCACCCCGTGGAATAGTCACGTAGATTGTAGCGTAGTAACGTTGTTTGCCATCTGGTATTACGGCTGGTCAAGTCGCAAATTTTTGATTGCTGTCATATCATTCGGATGTCTAATTTTATTTCAGATAAGATTATATTATTTCAAATATTATTTATATTATTAGATAATATTAAATAATTAGATTTTCATCAATACTAAAAGATAATTTCAACAATTTCTTCAACAAGAAAAAGTCTATTAAAATTTTTATTTTCAACTTTTAAGTTGGAATTCACATATAAAATAACTTTTTTTTTTCTTAAAAGATGTAAGGGATATTTGTGGAAAATTATTTCCATGATGTAACCGTAATGGATATGATATAAAATCTTGTTCGAATCGTTTCGTCGGATTTCGCGTATTGCGAGAAGTCTATACATTCGCGATTACTTCAGCTCGAAAGGATCCTGTATTCCGGAGATATGTTTCGAGCAAGAAAATGAAATGCCCCTTGCATCGTAATAATGGCTGGCCAGGGATAGCGCGCGCGAGGGGTGCATTTCAATTGATCCACTGTTATCGCGAAGAGGGTTCGTTGACCAACATTATCGTATATAATGAGCCGCACGCGAAGTCTCGCTGTGTGCTCGCTTTGGGTGTCCTTGAAGAGCAATCGCTTCCCCATTAAGGTCACTGACGTTATTAGTTCTACCGTGAGTATGCTTGATTATAATTAATTGATGCAATTAAATAAAAAAGAGATAATGGATTTCTCCGGTTAATTTTAAATCTTAATCGTGCAAAAATAATGTATGCAGAATTTAATAATATTCGATTTAACATCAATTTCATTGTTCATCATTTTTTTATTTAAATGTATAATTATTTTGTCAATTAAAAAATTATAATTAACTGAAATAATTTGAAATTAATTATAGAATAATGCATATTAAGAATATTAATTATACATTAAATCTTTTAATTACCCATCATTAAACAGTGATTATATATAATAATTACATAATAATAATATAAATAATGAATATTTTTTTCTTGTTCTTGCTATTCGAAGAAATGCATGATTTTTGTAAAACATCATTCATGTAGATTAAAGTATGTGTAATAAACAATATATATATTTTAAATATCAATCGTTTTGCAGAGCAAGTTTGTTATGTTTTACAAATCTGGAATTTTAGAACAGTCACTTGGTTATTTTTGCGATTCATTTGATAAACGAATTCTCGATTGTGTGTAGAAAAATCGATATCCAATGAAAGCTTCTTTTTCTTTCTTTCTCGCTATGCTTTCAATGTTTCTTTTAGGTACATTTGTAGCATTGAATGGTATTTTTGATGAACAAAAATTTTCCTAGAACCTTTTACTTTCATATTGTAACATTTCTGAACTTTTTATAAAAATAAATGAGCGACCCTTCGGAAATTTCACATTTGTTAAGCATGAGAGATTCTTGCTTTCAAACAAAAGACATGATAGAAAAGTCCATTACATATAATTTAATATACATGAAAGGTGTTCCACAAAAGTCACGCACTTTCTCCAAATCGTAGATAGCGAAAACTAAAGAAAAAAAAAAATAAAATAAATGAGAAAATCATGCGATTATAAATCGATATTAATAATAAAACAAACAAAAAATGTACGTCACAGGCAGACGAAATTTTTTATGCGTCGTTAAAAGCCGGAGGTCGTTAGTCTCGCTAATCTCGATTGCTGTGAATATAATAGTGCTGTAAATGCAAATTATTGTTGAAAAACGTTAATTACCGCAATAAGCTAATTACTATATTTTACGCGGTTCGATCCTTACGAAGAGCTTCCAAAGACAAATGGGGCACTTCTCGATATATCAA